TTATCAGTCTTCATGAATGCCTCAAGTTTTTATTAGAGTTCTGGAAGTTTTTAGTTAGTCCAGTGGTATGATCTCTGAAGTTACCAGAAATCTGTATTCAAGAGTACTTGTCAGGATTTTTTTCAAAAATATCCTTAAAGAAGAAGCAAATTTTGGACTGTAGCTGATTATAAATGACTTTTTTTAAAAAGAATCAAAGTAAAATAAAAATTGTCTATGGATGATAAAAGGCTTAGAATAGCCACGGTCAAAGATGAAATTGACTAGGATATTTGGTTATTTGTGTGGCATACAACAGTTTATCATAATAATTATGATAATGACATACTGATAACATATACCAAGACATATCAGACTTTTAGGAATCTCATACAATTTTGGAACACATTAGTAATACACTTTTATAAATATAACTCAAAGAAACAGCATTTCTTATTTGACAATATTTCCCATATGACTTTGACATCCCAAATAAGCCTAATGTGTCTCTTTTGGACTTCCAGGGGTTCGGGTTACGCCCAAGTTAGCTTGGGTCAAAAAGACTTAATTTTTGAATTTAAAATTTAATTTTGGAAAGTATCTCAAATATTAAAGGTTTAAAACACTTGATATAAAAATTAAAAAGGTGGCTGGGCGCGGTGGCTCAAGCCTGTAATCCCAGCACTTTGGGAGGCCGAGACGGGCGGATCACAAGGTCAGGAGATCAAGACCATCCTGGCTAACACAGTGACACCCCGCCTCTACTAAAAAATACAAAAAATTAGCCGGGCGAGGTGGCGGGCGCCTGTAGTCCCAGCTACTCGGGAGGCTGAGGCAGGAGAATGGCGGGAACCCGGGAGGCGGAGCTTGCAGTGAGCCGAGATCCAGCCACTGCACTCCAGCCTTGGCGACAGAGCGAGACTCCGTCTCAAAAAAAAATAAATAAATAAATAAATAAAAAATAAAAAAGGTTTAAAATACGTGATCAAAATAGAATCACAGGTCACTACAAAATAATGGTAACTGATTTAGCCAAAATGATAATTCAAAGATTTCGAAAAGCAAAAATCACTCCGATAAAGGAGATTCAGTTCTCAATCAAGAGACCTACAAAAGACAGCATGGGACAAACTCTCCCCTGTCACCTTTTCTTTGCCATCTATGCAAAAGCAAATACATCTTTCACTGTCTCTTATTAATACTACATTACATTTTTATTCAAAGGAGAAAAACAAGTTTTACTTTTAGGCCAGGCACAGTGGTTCATGCCTATAATCCCAGCCCTTTGGGAGGCCAAGGCAGGCAGATCACTTGAGCTCGGGAGTTCAAGACCAGCCTGAGCAACATGGTGAAACCCTGTCTCTACAAAAGATACAAAAATTAGTTGGGTGTAGTGGCATGTGCCTGTAGTCCCAGCTACCTGGGGGGTTGAGGCAGGAGCATTGCTTAAGCCTGGGAGGTCGAGGCTGCAGTGAGCCAAGATTGCACCACTGAACTTCATCTTGGGTGACAAAGTGAGACCCTGCCTCAAAAAAAAGAAAAAAATTACTTATGTATTAGTATATTATCAATTATCCAATCTCAGTCAGTTTTGACTACACAAGGTAAGATTTCCATAAACCTTCAATAATCTCTCACCATTTTCTATTAAAGAGCAGATTAATGCTCTGATAAAACCCAGTGGTTGTTCCAACACAGGAGCCCAGATGCTGGCCTTACATGAGTGTACTTTTGATATTAATACTTAAGTTTTAGAAAAACTTATTAAAAATTTCCTTCTATTTTTTTTTTTTTTTTTGAGATAGAGTTTCGCTGCTGTTGCCCAGGCTGGAGTGCAGTGGCATGAACTGTCTCACTGCCACTGCACTTTCATAAGGAATTTTGGGTTTCACCATGTTGGCCAGGCTGGTCTCAAACTCCTGACCTCAGGTGATCCACCTGCCTCGGCCTCCCAAAGTGGTGGGATTACAGCCATGAGCCACCGCACCAGCCATTTCCTTCTGATTTTCTTTTTTTTGGAGATGGAGTCTTGCTGTGTCACTCAGGCTGGAGTGCAGTGGCGTGATCTCTGCTCACTACAACCTCCACCTCCCAGATTCAAGTGATTCTCCTGCCTCAGTCTCCTGAGTAGCTGTGATTATAGGCGCGTGCCACCACACCTAGCTAATTTTTGTATTTTTAGTAGAGATGGGATTTATCCATGTTGGTCAGGCTGGTCTCAAACTCCTGACCTTGTGATCTGTCTGCCTCGGCCTCCCAAAGTTCTGGGCTTATAGGCATGAGCCACTGCACCCAGCCATTTCCTTCTTATTTTGACCAATTTGATCACATACAAAATGACTTTTACGAGATTAATCTTCCACAGACCTTCTAGAATTTGCTTAAATCTTCACTTTTGTCCTATACTTCCTTTTTATTTTGGCATTCTACGTTAGGGCAAAAATTTACTTCCCTTTTCCTGTTATCATTTTGACTACACAAAGTTCTCTCTCATGCAAAAGAAAAATTACTCTTTCAACAGTCTTTACCAAAAACACATCTGACTTTCTCTATACCCTCTGTAAATAGAATTGTTTCTTTTATATCAAGTAGTTTTAATCACATATATTAACTATAATTTTCACTCTTAGTAACCCAAATTTCCAGTGAAAAACCTAGGAAGTAAGTAATTTTTAGCTGTTTTCTACCAGCATTTGTAGATGAAAATAATTTCATAATTTCTAGAAAGATGGCTCCTAAATTTTTTTTGTTAACAGATTGAAATATATTTAGCTTTTCTATACCATATAAATGATTCAGACATTTTATGATGACCTATTACTTAATTTAACACAACGTGATATTAAGTTACTGAAAACAATTTTTGTTTGTTTGTTTGTTTGTTTTTGAGATGGAATTTCACTCTTGTTGCCCTGGTTGGAGTGCAATGGTGCGATCTTGGCTCACTGCAACCTCCGCCACCTGGGTTCAAGCGATTCTCTTGCCTCAACCTCCCGAGTAGCTGGGATTACAGGCATGCACCACCACGCCTGGCTAATTTTGTATTTGTAGTAGAGATGGGGTTTCTCCATGTTGGTCAGACTGGTTTCGAACTCCTGACTTCAGGTGATCTGCCCACCTTGGCCTCCCAAAGTGTTGGGATTACAGGCGTTAGCCACCGTGCCCAGCCTGAAAACAATTTTTAAAACTATGAAATGTTCATTTATAAACTTTTATCCCATTTACATTTTTTATTTTTTCATTCTTAACTATTTTGCCTGAATAGTTCATTAAACAAAGCTAGCCACCATCAATTTATTTCTTTGCTAATCATTTCTGTAGCCTGTGAATGTCATCCTCCCAAGCAGCTGGGACTTGAGGCATTCTCCACCATGCCCAGCCAGGTTTTTTGTTTTGTTTTGTTTTGTTTGTTGATTTTTGGTAGAGATGGGGTCTTGCTATGTTGCCCAGGCCGGTCTCAAACTCCTGGACTTAAGTGATCCTCCCACCTCAGCCTCCTGAGTAGCTGGGATTACAAATGCAAGCCACCATGCTCAGCTCTTGAATCTCATTATGTAAGGTTGACACTGTGAATATTTATTTTGCGTCCACATACCCAGTTTCCTATCCATTCACCCATTATTCATTCATCCATCCATCATTCACCAAACATCTATTCAGCATACATTTTGGGCCATGAGTCAAGGAATAGATCAGATCCTTCCCTGACCTGGAAGAGTTCCCTGGCTGGTTGAGGGAAAAGCTGGCAGCTCCCGACGATAAATTCTTTTTTTTTTTTTGGAAATAGGGTCTCACTCTGTTGCCCAGGCTGGAGTGCAGTGGCGTAGTGGCATGATCATGGCTCACTGCAGCCTCCTGGGCTCAGGTGACCCGCCCCTGACCTCATCCTCCCAAGTAGCTAGGACTACAGGTGCATGCCACCACGCCTAGCTAATTTTATTTATTTATTTATTTATTTATTTATTTATTTATTTATTTATTTATTTGCAGTAGAGGCAGAGTCTCACTGTGTTGCCCAGGCTGGTCTCAAACTCCTTGGGCTCAAGTGATCCTCCTACCTCAGCCTCCCAAAGTGTTGGGATTACGGACATGAGCCATCATGACCGACCAGCCCCTGATAATTCTGTTCAATTCAGCAAACACTTCTGTGTCACCCCCTGGTCCCTGTGGGGAGTGGGAATGAAGCAAGCCTGCCCTCAAGAAGCTCCCAGTCAATGGGGCGGCCAGATCTGGGCCCAGCAGTTGAGTGTAAGGCCAGCTGTAAGAAAGGCTAAGATGGAGATGAGATCACACCCTTAGGGAAGGGGAGTGCAGAACAGACTTTGGGGAAAACAGCAATTTCCAAAAGCAGAGATATGGAAGGTGGGAAGAGCAGGAAGCATGAACCCCACTGACCTCTCATGTAGTCCAGGGCCAGAGGGTCACAGACTCCCTGGAATGTATGTTTCATGAGGGCAGCACCTGGAACAGGGCCCAGCACATAATAGGTGCTCAGTTAATACTCAATAAGTAGATGCTCTTTCCCAGACCCCAAGCTGTTTGCCTTAAAGTCCTATTTGAAAGACTGGGAAAGCAAGTCACAAGCAAGACTTGTCCTAGATAAAGTAAAGTGTGAGGAGGGGGTGCAAATCAAGATTTGAGGCATACCTGATGCGGACCTCCAAGGATCAGAGAGGTCCTAGTCCCAGCTCATCCACTAACTTGCCACATGACTTTGGGCAAGTCACCTCACCTTCAGATGCCTCCATTGGAAAAGAATACAAGGGTGAGAGGAGGTGACCCCTGCGGGGGGCCTGTTATTTGGAAAGTGACAGTATTATGACTTTTTTCCTAACTCCCTCCTGTACAGAAACTCAGCCAAGAATGTTTAAAGCAGCTGGCAATCAAGAAGCAGCAGCACGTTGACAACATAACCCAGATAGAAGATGCCACCGAGAAGCTCAAGGCAAGTGGACATTTCTTCCTCATTCCCATGGAAAGACCCACATTTCCCCCCAGACACAAGGCACCCCCAATATGGAGCCAGTGAAAAATAAAAACCAACTGCGAAGGGGCAGATCGGGTTTGGTAGGGCCTGGAGCTTCTATAATTCAGGGTTCTTTAGAAAAAGAACACAAAATTACAGACAAAATTAGGTGCAAGACCATGATCGGGCCCTGCAAGTGAGGGTCCCTAAGCTCCGGTTTCCTTTGCTTTGTGGCAAATCTCTGGCTCCTTAGTGTCATCTGCCACTCTCTTAAAGTAACTAGCCCATTATCCCAAATTGCCTTAAACAAAGCAAAACACAGCTTAAGGAATATGCAGGTATCTCTTTAATTCCACTGCCATGCTGAAAGAAAGCAAGTAGGGTGTAGATCTGTTCCACAAATAGGTACTTTCTTCACTCTCCTTTCATAATGATGTTTGGATTCTCTGTGGATTTTGAATGGAAAGTTGAGACTGATGTTATTCTAAGTAACCATTTTGACCGTGACAAAGTTGTGTTTTTAGGCCTCAGGGGCTGGTCCCTTCCCCTTGCATCCTCTGTTGCTCCCTCCTCGCAGTGAGGGCTGGGGTGGGAGGCCCTCCTGGGGCCTGTCCCACTGAGAGCTGGAAGAACCCCTGCTCTGCACTTTGGGAGGCCGAGGCTGGAGGATCACTTGAGCCCAGGAGTTCGAGACCAGCCTAGGCAAGATAATGAGACCCCCATCTGTACTGAAAATAAAATAGCCAGGCATGGTGGTGCACGCCTGCAGTCCCAGCTGTTTGAGAGGCTGAGGTGGGAAGATCACTTGAGCCCTGAAGCTTGAGGCTATAGTGACCTAGGATCACGTCACTGCGCTCCAGCCTGAGCAACAGAGAAAGATCCTATCAAAAAAAAAAGGAACCCCTGACTGATTCACACAAGAGGAGGAGTGGCTCTGACCATGGGAGAAGCTGGTACCCAGTTTCTCCTGTGACCAGGCCAGGCCACAGAATTGGCTCCCACATTTACCTAAAATCCATTCTCTGTTAGGTGTCTTCATGACAGTTTGCCGGTACCCTGAGGACGTTTGTGGTTCACACCTGTGGCCCCAGCTTAATCATTAATAGTGTCCCTCATGTCTTCACGAGCAGAACTCTGGGCTTGGAGATAAACAGTACCAAAGGATTTAGAAAGTGAAAGCTGTCACGTTGGAAGGGCTGTGGGGAGGCCTGAAGATCAGGCTGCTTGTCTGCAAATGCCTGAGCAGATATGGTTTGAGGGCCCCCAAGAAAAGAATTAGGACCCATGTGGAGGGTCTAAGGTTTCCCTGGGCCACACTGGAAGAATTGTCTTGGGCCACACGTAAAATACACTAACATTAACGATAGCTGATGAGCTAAAAAGAAAAAAAAAAATCCCCAGAAAACTCATGATATTTTAAGAAAGTTTACAAATTTGTTCCCACATTCAGAGCTGTCCAAGCTTGGCCTGAGGGATGGCGTGGGGTAGGTTTCAGCTTAATCTAAGGAATGGTTCTCTTTCTCTTGACCCTTTCCCCCAACTAACTTTTTAACTTTTTATAGATTTAGAGGAAGTTGCGAAAATAGTAGAGTTTTGTGTACCTTGACCTAGTTTTCCCCAAGGGTTACTTGTTACATAACTATAGCACACTGTCCAAATAAAAAAATGGATGGTATGTGTATATAGTTTTACATCAACTTATCACATGTATAGATTTGCATAACTACCGCTGCAATCAAAATGCAGGCTATTCCATCACAGCCAAGTTCTACCTTCTTCTAGGCCAAGCAAGGTGGCTCACGCCTATAATCCCAGCACTTTGGGAGGCTGAGGCAGGCAGATCATTTGAGGTCAGGAGTTCAAGACCAGCCTGGCCAACATGATGAAACCCCATCTCCAATAAAAAAAAAATACAAAAAATAGCCAGGAATGGTGTTGCCTATAATCCAAACTACTCAGAAGGCTGAGGTGGGAGGATCACTTGAACCCAGGAGGTGGAGATTGCAGTGAGCCAAGATCATGCCTCTGTACTCCAGCCTGGAAGACAGAGCAAGACTCCATCTAAAAAAAAAAAGATCTACCTTCTTCTACACCTTTATGGTCACTTCCCTACCCACTGTCTCCCCCAAGGCAATCCCTAACCCCTGGCAGTTATTAATTTGATAATTGTGGCATTTGAAAATATCATAAAAAATGGAAAATGACTTTTTGAGGTATTTTTCACTCAGCAGAATGCCCTTGGGATCCACCCGAGTTGTTGTGACAACCACTAGTTCATTCCCATGTATTGCTGAGTAGTAATATTCCATTAATCAGGTAGTATGGATGTACCATAGAGGTTTTTTTTTAACCATTTACGTATTGTAGGCCGTCTGGTACAGTCTAGGGCTATTACAAATAAAGCTTCTTTAAACAGTTGTGTCCAGGTTTCTGTGTGGACGTAAGTTTTCATTTCTCTGTGTTAGATGCCCAGGAGTGCTGTTGCTGGGTCATATGGCACTTGCCTGTTTTTTTTTTTTTAAGAAACTGCCAAATGCTTTTCTAGAGTAGTTGTGCCATTTTACATTCCCATCAGCAATGCATGAAAGAGTGTTTTTCTGCATCTTTGACAACATTTGGTATTGTCACAAGTTTTTATCTTAACCTGCATAACCTGTGTGTAGTGATACCTTATCATGGTCTTAATTTGCATTCCCCTGGTGGCTAGTGATGTTGAGTATCTATTCATTGCTTGTTTGCCATCTCTACAAAAAATTAAAAAATCATCCAGGTGTAGTGGCACATGCCTGTAGTCCCAGCTACTCAGGAGGCTGAGGTGGGAGGATCGCTTGAGCCCAGTAGGTTGAAGTTGCAGTGAGCTATGACCATGCCACTACACACCAGCCTGGGTGACAGAGCAAGACCCTGGAAGAGGAAAGAAAGAAAAGAAAAAGTTTGTTGGGATTTTGATAGGAATTATGTTAAACCTGTTTATCAATTTGGGGAGAATTGACATTTTTACTATGTTTTCTTCCAATCCATGAACATGGTATATCTTTCCATTTATTTAGATCTTTGTTTTCTTTCATCACCATTTTATATTTTCAGCATACAAATTCTGCATGTTTTGTTAGACTTATACCTAAGTGGCCTTCATAAGGTAGTAATAAAAATGGAATTAGTAGTCAGCATTTTAAACCTGAGACATATTTGTATAAAAATTTATATTTAGGAAATTAGAAAGGTATTGCCACCCTATGCTTGCACTCTCATGTGGGGGCAGACGGAACTGAGCAATGGCTACTCCCATGGCATGGGATCTCCCAGCTCTACCCTGCCCACTTCCTTCAGTGTTAACAACGTGGCTCTTGTGAACATTTATATTTCAATTCCTGATAAATAAACAGATTTTTAAAAATTCATCCATAATCCTGCATCCTGCCACTTCAGGCCAACCGTTATTCACATTTTGAGATTTTTTTTCCTGTATATGCATATGTTTTTAATGTAGCTTGAATCATATTGTACATACAATTATAATATATCCCCAATCTGGAGGTGAGGCATGGTGGTTCATTTTCTTGTGTGGTTTGTCACATGTATTATCATCTTGTCTCTAGTAGGTATTTGCCATAGATGTCCAATACACCATGGATTGTGAGTGTGCCCCTTCAGAGCACTGTGACATGAGCATCTTCAGGGGATGCTATGAGTTTCAGTAGCTCCAGACTCGTTTTCATATTATTTTTCAGTTTTGAGTTTCCATGAATTTGGACTACAGCCCTGCTTAATGCAAACCTGTTGTTTTATTTGTTTTGCTGGTGATTTTCTTTTCACCTGTGACCCTGGATGGATGACTAGATTCCTTTTCTTTTCCATGGGCCAGTGGGTGGAGTTTTTCTGTTGCCTAGTTGATGGATGGAGCAGCTCTTTGTGGATCTGACTTGATGCAGGTCACTCATATCCACTCTCAGCTGGAATGTGGCCAGGTACCCTGTGCTCCCCTTGGATGGCCAGGCCGCATTGTGGTGTGGCTTTCATCTGCATGCATGCACCTCTGGCTCCACTCCTTCCAGGTCGCTTAGCTTCAGCTCCTGCCAGGTCACTCACACTGTGTTTCCTTTTTGGTTTTGGCACCAGTGAATTTCCTTTGTTTGTTTGTTTGTTTTATTTTGTTTTTGTTTGTTTTTTGAGACGGAGTCTCGAACTGTCGCCAAGGCTGGAGCATGGTGGCATGATCTCAGCTCACTGCAACCTCCGCCTCTTGGGTTCAAGCGATTATCCTGCCTCAGCCTCCTGAATTGCTGGGACTGCCGGTGCCCACCACCATGCCTGGCTAATTTTTGCATTTTTAGTAGAGACGGGGTTTCACTATGTTGGCCAGGCTGGTCTCGAACTCCTGACATCAAGTGATCTGCCCACCTTGGCCTCCCAAAATGCTGTGTTTGTTTTATTTGGCACTTGGTGATATAATTTTAAAATTTGCTCATTTTTATCAGCATTTCTCTGTGTTTGAAGTGGAAAGGGGGATTTTCCATGTCAGCTCCTCCCTTATTAATCAAAACTATATGTTGCTTTTATATATGGATTTTTGTTGTTTTTGTTCAGGATCATAACACTTTTCTATGTCATTAAAAGTTCTTTTTCAATGTCAGTATTAGAGGCTGTGTATTCCATATATGAATCTCCTGTGATTCATTAAGGTAGTTACCTAATTTTCAGACAGTTTGGTAATTATTTTGGGCACCGTGGTTTATTTCCTTCAGGACACAATCCTAGAAGTGATGCATTTACAATAAGCACAAACATGTGTTAGTATCCCAATGCCTTCTGTTGAATTGTGGCAGGCGTACTTTGTGGCAGAGAGGTCTGGGGCAACTGTGTGGCTCGGTTCTTATTTACATAGAGGCAATACTAGGGGAAATTCCATTCATTTGCCTACAAATTAATCCATAAAACAGGTCTATAAACCCATTAAAATCAACAAAATGTATACATGGTCCAAAGTCTGTTGTTCAGAAGCCAATGACCAGGCCCAACCAGTTGCTTCCAGAGAACAATTAAGGACTTGGCCATTAATTCCCAGCTGACACCCATTAAGTGATTTTCTCTTATATCCTCGTTCACAGGCTGATTACCTCTCCCATCATGCCATCCCAGGTGGTGTCATGGTTTAAATGTTTGTTCCTTCTAAAGCTCCATATTGAACCTTAATCCGCAGTGTGGCAATGTTGAGAGGCGATTGAAGAGGTGACCTTATACCTCATCACCCAATAAAAAGGTCTTAAAGAGTCTTGATTGGGTCATGAGGGTTCTGGCCTCATGAATGGATTAATGGATGAAAGGGTTATCACTGGAGTGGGGCCAGTGTTTTATAAGGAGCAGAAGAGAGACTGGAACTAGCATGTTAGAGTGCTCAGTCCCCTCACCATGCGATGCCCTGTGCCACCTTGGGGCCCTGCAGAGAGTCTCTGTATTAGGCCATTCTTGCATTGCTATAAAGAAATACCTGAGGCTGGGTAATTTATAAAGAAAAGTGATTGAATTGGCTCACAGTTCCGCAGCTGTACAGGAAGCATGGTGCTGGCATCTGCTCAGCTTCTGAGGAGGCCCCAGGAGGCTTTTACTCATGGTGAAGATGAAGCAAGAGCAGGCACTTCACATGGCAAGGGCAAGAGCAAGAGATGGGGGAGGAGCCACACACTTCTAAACAGCCACATCTTGTGAGAATTCACTCACCACCAAGAGGACAGCTCTAAGGGGATGGTGTGAAACCATTCATTGAAAGGGAGCAACGGGCCAGATGGCAGAAAGAAGGCTGTCTGCAAAGAGGCAGGGGCTGGAGGCAGAGGTTTCTAAGGTTGTGCTGCTTGAGCTGAATGCTTGCAGACAGGATGCCTGGGTGCAGGTGGACTGTGAGCTGAGTGCTTGTAACAGGATGCTTGAGTGCTAGTGAGCTGTTTGTGGTTGACCCTATTTCTTAGAACATTCACTCCCCACTACTGTTGTTTCTGTTTCTGCTAGTGAAGCCCATTTTTCAATTTTTTTTTTTTTTTTTTTTTGAGTCAGAGTCTTGTTTTGTCGCCCAGGCTGGAGTGCAGTGACTCGATCTCAGCTCACTGCAACCTCCATCCACCTCCCCGGTTCAAGTGATTCTCAAGCCTCAGCCTCCCAAGTAGCTGGGATTACAGACACTCACTACCACACCCAGCTAATTCTATTCTCTATTCTCTATGTGCAGAAGCTATATACAGAGAATCTTGGAACACAGATCTTCATGCACATGTGAAAGCACTTTCTAGGATACTAGTAAAGTAAGAGGGATTGCTGCATGAAAGAATAAATGTATTTAAAACTTTGAGGCCAGGCGCAGGGGCTCATGCCTATAATTCCAGCACGTTGGGAGGCCAAGGCAGGCAGATCACCTGAGGTCAGGAGTTCAAGACCCAGCCTGGCCAACAGTGACTCTCTGTCTCTGCTAAAAATACAAAAATTAGCTGGGCATGGTGATGGCCACCTGCAGTCCCAGCTACACGGCTGAGGCAGGAGAATCGCTTGTACCCGGGAAGCGGAGGTTGCAGTGAGCCGAGATCTTGCCATTGCACTCCAGCGTGGGCGACAAGAGCAAAACATCATCTCACAAAAAAAAAAAAAAAAAAAAAAAAAAAAAAAAATTGATACCTATTGTCATATTGCCCTCTAAAAGCAAAGTCCAATAGACCCTACCACCCACAGTTTATATAAATGCCCTACTTCACATACCCTTACAGACTGTATTTCAATCTTTTAAAAGTCTTCCAATCTAATGATCAAAAACTATTTTCTGGGCTGGGCATGGTGGCTCATGCCTGTAATCCCAGCACTTTGGGAGTCAGGAAGGTGGATCACCTGAGGTCAGAAGTTCAAGACCAGCCTGACCAACATAGTGAAACTCCGTCTCTACTAAAAATAAAAAATTACCCATGTGTGGTGGTACGTGCTTGTAATCCCAGCTACTCAGGAGGCTGAGGCAGGAGAATCGCTTGAACCTGGGAGGCAGAGGTTGCTGTGAGCCAAGATCGCGCCACTGCACTCCAGCCTAGACAAGAGTGAAACTCCTTCTCAAAAAATAAAAATAAATAAATAAATAAATAAAAATTGTTTTGTATTTCATCTAATTGATTTATTCTTTGGGCTTTATGTACAGTGTTTTAGTTTAACTGGACCTTCTCTTTTTGTTTGTTTTCCTTAACCTTTTATTGTGGAAAATCTCATATTATTTTAATTGTTTTTATTTTTATATTTTTAGTACAAAAAATGCAGAAATTTATTCTAAAATGCCACTGTTACACCACACATACATACACACATTTCCATATATAATTTGAGTTCTTTTAAAAGCTCTTTATTTTGTGCTTTTGACCTCTTATGTATGCTTGAGCCACATGGTTTTAGATCCTGTAGATTTATCATTTGTTTTGTTATAAGATACGGCAGATAACCTGTTATCAGGTTTCTCTTTATTGATTTTTTTAAAGCAATGTTGGCTTTTCTTATGCTTATTGTGTCTCCTAATGATTTAATAATTTTTAATCAGCATGTTAAGATTTTGATTGGAATTTCATCAAATTTATAGACTAATTTAGAGACAAATAATGACTTTATAGTAATGAACCCTCCCAGTCACGAATATGGTTTTGTATTAGGTTTATTTCTACAAATTTTGCTATTTTTTCTCTCATTTACAAAAGGATCTTTATTTCTCCGTGCATTTTACTATTGGTGATGGCTGGTGCTTAGGAAAGCTTTGGTTTTTATAAGTTGATCTTGTATCTGGCCACTTTGCTGAATTCACATTTCAGACGTTATAATTTTTTTCATGTTGATTATTCTGGATTTCCTGGTTGGCAGACATGTCATCTGCAACTGGTTTTTCTGTTTTCAGGTTAATGCAGAATCAAGTAAAACCTGGCTGAAGGGGAAATTCACTGAACTCAGATTACTACTTGATGAAGAGGAAGCTCTGGCCAAGAAATTCATTGATAAAAACACGCAGCTTGCCCTCCAGGTGTACGGGGAACAAGCTGACTCTTGCAGAGAGCAACTTGACGTCGTGAACGATCTCTCCAACAGGGTCTGGAGTATCAGCCAGGAGCCTGATCCTGTCCAGAGGCTTCAGGTAATGCTGGGGTCACTGCCCTTACAGCGGCCACCTGCCACCCACACTTCATCTCAGGTATTGTGGCATTGAGCACAGTATTGACACACTAAGCAAGTACACGGAATACTGTCTTGTCACCATGTAGACTGTCTTGCCCCCACACAAGTGGTCAAGAGAATATACATTGTTAGGAAGAGAGTACACATCTTGGGCTAATTAAATAATGTTAACAGCCACCAATTTCAAAGGCCTCTGTGTTCTGAGCACTGTGTAGCTTAGCACTAATATTCACCAGAACTCTGCAAAGTGGGCCCACCCATTTTATAAACAAAAAATTGAGGCTTATTGATGTAACTCACCCGGTCTCACACAGCTGGTAGGTGGCAGAGCTGGTATCAGGTCTGGCTGTCTGTCTAGGTCTGTCTGACTCTAAACCCACAAGGCACCTTGACTGGCCTTCTGCCTATGTAGTCTTTTTTTTTTTTTTGAGATGGAGTTTCTCTCTTGTTGCCCAGGCCAGAGTGCAATGGTGCGATCTCGGCTCACCACAACCTCCGCCTCCTGGGTTCAAGCAATTTTCCTGGCTAGCCTCCCAAGTAGCTGGGATTACAGGCATGTGCCACCATGCCTGGCTAATTTTGTATTTTTAGTAGAGACGGGGTTTCACCATGTTGGTCAGGCTGGTCTTGAACTCCTGACCTCAGGTGATCTGCCCACCTCGGCCTCTCAAAGTGCTGGGATTACAGGCGTGAGCCACTGCGACCGGCCTGCCTGTGTAGTCTTAAATTGAGACACCCCTCCCGAAAAGGCAGGTGTCCTTGCAGTTACTGAGCACATTTCAAAAGCTGAGTCACAGCTGGCTCAATGGTACTCCTTGGCCACAGGGCTTTGTGGAGGAAGAGTCTAAGAAATAGCCCCTGTGGCAGATCACTTGAGGCCAGAAGTTTGAGAGCAGCCTGACCAACATGGCAAAACCCCCCTCTACTAAAAATACAAAAATTAGCTGGGTGTGGTGGCGCGCACCTGTGAGGCTGAGGCAGGAGAATCACTTGAGTCGGAGGCAAAGGTTGCAGTGAGCCGAGATCGCGCCGCTGCACTCCAGCCCAGGTGAGAGTGAGACTCTGTCTCAAAGAAAAAAAAAAAAAGAACTAGCCCCTGCTATACTCATTGCTACATTTAGGGAAAGCATGTCGTTGAGGATGGTGTTCCTGTCTTTAGGGAAACGTGGAAGAAACTCTTGTCTGGTGTCAATATCCCTGTGCAGTCACTTCTGCACTAGAATTGCTTTTCCACTAATAGAGCTCCTCCTGTTCTCTTCTTTGCCTTGGGAAGTTCAGAGCCAAATCTGCCTTGACTAACTATACTAAGGCTTCATGGCAAACACTTTGTGTCTAATTTTCTCTTTGCTTCATTTTTTCTCGCTATAAAGAAAAATCTTGCCTTATTAGAGGACCTTTGCAAGACACTTTAAAGGCTGTGGGACAAGGCTAAAAAGTTGCACCGACTCTAATCACAGATTGGTATGGGCTCTGGCTGGAAAATCAGACAGAGAAATAAGCTAGTCAACAAAACCAGCCAAGCCAGTCCCCAGGTGGGGATTTCCACTCTTGTGTCTTTATGTGGCCTCAGTCGGTTCAGCCTGTGTCTCATTGTCAGCTGTTTCAGCCAAATTCTATACGAGGTGCTTTCCTAGGCATAATGGGTATTGTGCTTTAAGAGGGGCAAGATGCACAAAGTGATACACTTAATTGTCTTTTTTTAAATAATGGTCGTTTTTAAGGCTTTGGAATACAAAGGAATCCTTCCATGGGGAAGCATGCTATTCTCACATCAGAAAACGGTTTCAGGGCTTTGTCATCTTTTTTTTTTTCAAATTTTCTTGTGCCAAAGCTACTGATTTTAATCATTCACCATTCCTACCTTCTATGTGTTGATTCGTTTATTCATCAATACGTACTGAGCCAGGACGTTAGGAGCTCACAGCTGGGTGGGGAGACTTGCTCAGAAACAGTTATTTACAATACAGCTTAAACAATTTTGTAAATATGAAGCCAGCAAAATTATGTCCAAGAAATGTCTGACACTCTCTAGCTGGGAGAAGGATGCAGTCTGGGAGGACTTCTAGGAAGAGGTGATGGTAGGGCTGGGTGCTGGACAATGAGTAGGAGCACACTGTATATAGAGAGGATGGAGAGGGGACAGACAGGAACAGTGTACATGTGAGAGCTTGACAGGCTGAGGAACCAGTTGGGGTGCAGCCTGGCTTGAGGAGGGGTGGGTGGATTGAGAGACACAGCTGAATCCATAGGCCATAGTTAGTTCATGAAGGCCTTATGTGCCATAGAGTTCAGACTTTGTCCTGTAATGAGATAGCAGACGGGAATGTATGTATGTTTGTTTGTTTGTTTGTTTGTTTGTTTTTGAGACAGGGTCTCACTCTGTTGCCCAGGCTAGAATACAGTGGCTCATTCTCAGCTCACTGCAACATTTGCCTCCCAGGTTCAAGGAATTCTCCTGCCTCTGCCCCTTGAAGAGCTGGGACTATAGGCACGTGCCACCATGCCCGGCTAATTTTTGTATTATTAATAGAGATGGGGTTTCACCATGTTGGCCAGGCTGGTCTCAAACTCTTGACCTCAAGTGATCCACCCACCTTGGCCTCCCAAAGTGCTGGGTTTACAGGCGTGAGCCACCCACGCCCAACCCAGGGGAGTGTTTTGCACTGAGGGATGAAAGCGTTCACATGGTCAGATTAGTGCTTTAGAAAAGTCACTTTAGAGACAGAGTGGAAGATGGACAGGGGAGGCCAGGATGGGAGACTGGAAGGAAACAGGAGGAGGCCACAATATCCAGGAGAGAGATGATGGTGGCCTGGACCAAGACAGGGGCAGTGGGGATGGGGAGAAACAGGCAGGTCAAGAGATGCCACAGGAATGGAGATTGGAATTGGAGAATGAGTAGGGGGAATCCTGAGATGATGCCTGGGTTTCTGGCCTGAGAGATGAAGGGCTGGGGTTTCTGTTCTCTGAGTCTGCAAAGGCAAAATGTAGCTGTGCTCGGTTTCATGCATTTATTTATTCCATCATACATATGTTTTGAGAACCTGTGTGTCAGGCCTGGTGCTAGCCGCTGGAGTTTGGGGTTACCAGGTGGTGCCACGTGTCCTCTATCGACCCCTCATCCTACCCTACTCATCTGCCCTCTGAGCCCCCTCTCACCTCCTCGGAGCTGCTCCCTGCCCACCCTGGACTTCCTGCTAGTGCTCGGTCTCCCCCGGCCAGCTCCATTCCAGCTCTCTGGGTGTGATGTTAGGCCTGGTTCCCCACCAAAATGAGGTTGGACTCTAGACTCCTGGCCTCCTAGGCTGAATGGGGCTTGGAGGCCATCTCACAGCCTCCTCCCAATGTACAGCATGCTGCCAGGTGGGGCCTGCCCCTGCCCAACAGCTGAGTGCTAGGCCACCCTCCCTCCCTCCTGAGGCCCCCATCTGTCCACCCCTTCTCGGATGGGCAGCACTGCCACTGCCAGCCAAGCCTGATCACCTGAGGCAGTCAGCTTCCTTCCAACTCCTGGCCAGGACAGCCCTTCAGAAAGTGCAGCCATGGTTCTTACCTGCAAACATGAGAATCCACTGGAACGGTTTTAAGCAAGAAAGGAGTTTATGGAAGAGTATGAGGTAGCCCATAGGATCTCCAGGAGGGTCAGAGAGTCGGGATGGAAGATGGGCAGCAGGAATGAAGTCCAGGGGTTGTTGCCAGTATAGGCCCCATGGCACCTCTGCTGGGCAAGACATCACCACTCACACCACTGACCAGAACCCCCACCACTGCTGTCCCTGAGCGCCTCATGCCACCATCACTACCTTCACCCTCATTTCCAAATCCACACTTTGGCTTGGAGGCGTCTGGTCACACTCCTACAGCACAGGTGCAAAGGCAGCTGGGGGGGCGGTTTCTAGCTTCTCCTTAGTGAAGCCACACACCATAGGAAGGTATTGAAGAGGGGCTGTCCAGACCCAAAACAGGACACATGTCCCTTGCAGTGGCCACGCCCCCTCAGTCAGCACTGCAGCTGAACCTTGCTGGTCTTTGGCGTCATTCTTAGAACATGGTTTCCTGCTCCACCTTTGAATAAGCTCCAGGGGCTCCTTCCCCAGGGAGACTGACCTCTCACTCTTTTTGTACCCGAGGCAGACCCGTGGTGCAGTGTGTGTGAGGCTGAAGCCTCTCTGGGAAGGGCCCCATGTCAGCCTGACCCCGCCCTCTGCCCACATAGCTGGCACAGAGTAGGCCTCAATGAACACGGAAGGAAGGAAGGAAAGGAGGGAGGGAGGGAGAGGGAGGACTCCCCAGTGCCAGCCCTGAGAAACCACACCTCCGCATGGCTCCCACCTCAGGGATGCTGTGTGGTCTCTCCAGGGCTCTGCTCCTGGGGGCATGGCCTGGGCTGACCATAGGTGCCAGGCCAAGGTGGAGCCTGGGCATGGTGGTGTGGGTTTGTTCCTGGATGCAGCACAGGAGGCTGGGATGCTGCCTGCATCTCCCAGAGCCACCCTCACCCCCGTGTGCCCACACAGGCATACACAGCCACCGAGCAGGAGATGCAGCGGCAGATGAGCCTTGGGGAGCTGTGCCACCCTGTGCCCCTCTCCTTTGAGCCCGTCAAGAGCTTCTTTAAGGGCCTCGTGGAAGCCGTGCAGAGTACATTACAGACGCCATTGGACATTCGCCTTAAGGAAAGTAAGTCGCTGAGTGACCAACTTTGTGTCCTTAACTCCCCTAGTGCCCTTTAGCCCAGAGGCAAATGCAAAGATCATCTCCCTACATCCTGTCTCTCCGACACTGAGGCCCTTGGCTGGGCGGTCAGGGGCTCCTGGGCCTGGTGCCTAACCCACCCTCACCACTTCACCTCCAACCCTTCCTGAGACCGAGACCTGCCCTTCTCCAGTCACACTGTCCTGCTTCTGCCCCTCAGATCGCTCCTGGGAGCCTGCCACATCTCAGCCTTGCTCTGGGTTCCCAGCTGGAATGACCAACTCTTCCTCCTCCTCTTCCTCTGGCTGAGGCCAAGGCCTGGCATCCCTTCAAGGCAGACTGGCACAGCTGTGCCCACCTGGGAAGCCCTTTCCTGCCAGCCCAGCCCTGACTCACTCCCTCCTTTGGCCATCTCCCCTCTCCCTTCCTGCTCCAGGGCCTGCCCATGTCCTGCTGGAGAGTGCTCATGAAGTGGACACATGGACCCCTCCTTGCCCCTTGTAAGCACGTGAAGGGTAGGAACCAGCTTTAGGTCAGCACGTGAAGGGTAGGAACCAGCTTTAGGTCCAACTCAGAGGTCCCCGCAGGGCCTGGCACAAACCATGTGCTCAAAAATATCTGTTCTTTGATTCATTTATGCGTTCGTTCATTCATTTATTCATTCATTCATTCATTCATTCACCTCTGCTGTCATGATTCATTCAGAACATTTATCAAGCCACTCTTATGTGCCAGGCATAGCAGGGCACAACACAAAGCTCCTTGTCATCTTTTGGTGCTCACAGTCTTTGTAGGGGAAGACAGACAGTACACAAACATGTCAGGTGACAGGAACTGTTATAAAGAATAATAAAGACTGGGTGTGGTGGCTCACGCCTGTAATCCCAGCACTTTGGGAGGCCGAGGTGGGTGGATCATGAGATCAGGAGTTCGAGACCAGCCTGGCCAACATGGTGAAACCCCATCTCTACTACAAATACAAAAATTAGCCAGGCGTGGTGGCGTGCACCTGTAATCCCAGCTACTCCGGAAGCTGAGGCAGGAGAACTGCTTGAACCCGGGAGGCAGAGGTTGCAGAGAGCTGAGATCATGCCACTGCAAATCAACCTGGGTGACAGAGCAAGACTCTGTCTCGAAAATAATAATAATAATAATAATAAACCAGGGCAGGATGCAAGACAGGAAAGTGACAAGGAGGAGGAGCTGTTTTATATAAGCAGTTGGGAAGGCCTCTGAGAAGGGGACACTCAAAGTGGCCCAAAGGAAGCGTTCGTTCTGCAGGTTCTGTGGCTCTGAAGGGCCAGAGGGCACAGTGGTCATAGGCACGGCCTCTGGAGCTCGGCCTCCTGGGTTCCTATCCCAGGTTTACCACATGGAACCCTAATGAACCCTGCCATCTTAGACACGGCACCTCCCTTTTCCATGCCTCTGTTTCTGCTTCTGTAAAGTGGAGACCGTAATGCAGTCGCCTTCCTGGGCCACTGTGAGGATTAAATGAGCTCTTACACATGTAGCGCTCAGGCGTAATAAGCACCATGTACGTCTTGGCGATTGTGATTGCTGCTGCTGTTACATGTGGGGGAGGCATTCTAGACAGAGGGAAAAGCAAGGGTGGAGGTCCTGAGGCGTGATGGGAGTGAGCTGGCCATATTGAAGGAGCAGCAATGGAGACAATGGGGACAACGGGAGCGGACATGGGGTCACAGGGGAGAGAGGAAAGAGATCAGAATCCAAGGATTTTGACGTGGGCAACTCGCAGAAGGAAACTGTCATTTTCTGAAGTGAGAAAGAGCGTTTAGGACTGGAGGGAATGAAGTATTTGAACCTGTGAGATTTGAGAAGTTGGACTCCCAGGTGGTGGTATCGCCTAGGCAGTAGGACCTATGATTCTAGAGTTCGGGGGAGAGGGGAGAGGCTTTTGCCTTGATGAAAGAACAACTTCAGCCAAATTAAATTTAAAGGAGTTTAAATGAGCAATGAACGATTCATGAATCCGGCTGCCTTCTGAGCCACAGTGCGCTCAGACTCCAGCACAGCCACGTGGTGGAAGATTTAGGGACAGAAAAAGGAAAGTGACGTACAGAAAACAGAAGTGAGGTACAGAAACAGCTGGATTGTTTACAGCTCGGCATTCGCCTAATTTGAACATAATTTGAACAGTTGGCTACATCTGATTGGCCAAAACTTGGTGATTGGCACAAGTGCAGGCTACGGTCTGTTTACACCTCCACTTGTTATTGTTCACGATGTGCAGAAAAATCTTCAGGCCGAACTTAAAAGATGTAGTAAGGAAGAGCTTTAGGCAAACTTGATTTAAACAGCCTGCAGGTGGGCTTCCCCGCTGTCTACAGGCCCCTGTGATGAGCGCTGGGAGTGATGGGGGCAGAAGGCACTTCTGGGGAGGTGCTGAGTGAGCTCCAGCCCCAACAGCTGAGAAGGAGGCAACCTGGACAAGGGGGGAAGGATGTGGGGGGTGCTGTCCAGGCAGAGGGCACAGCAAGTGCCAAGGGCCCTGGGTGCCCCTGCTGTGCCTGCTTGTTGGGATAGCCTCCCCTCCTTCCTTCTTTCTGAGCACTCAGACCTTCCTGAGGACTCAGCTCTACTTTCTTGTTTTCCATCTTTACCCTGGAATTTGCAAGTCTTCCCTGAGTCGCCGCCCATCCTTGAGTGCTGGATCCAGTAGTTGTTCGCTTCTCAGCTCCTCCTCCTGTTTAGGGCTCTCCCACACCAGCCTCCTCATCCTGGGGTTTTCCTGTCCCTGTAAATTTACATAAATCCCTTAAATCTGTGTGGCTCTTGGGCGAGATTATGCGAATCTTCAGTCATGTGGTATTTTTAGCATGTCTTATTTGTCTGCTTGCAAGAGCTCCAGGCGCTCATTTCTCGACAATTCCTTACAGGCATGAACTGCCGGCTCTTGGACCCTTCCAGCACCAAGCCAGGTACCTTGTTGAAAACCAGCCCCTCACCAGAGCGATCACTCTTCCTAAAATGTAAGACCCCCGGGAGTGGGGATAGGGTGGAGATGGTGGAGATGGTGGGATGTTGGGTGGAGAAGGATCATGGAAATGGAGGTCCCTCTTTTTTTCTCATTAGAATTTGTTTTTTTTTTTTTAAGAATTTGTTTTTTTAAAAAATGTTTATTATTAAAGACATGTAAAATAATACATGTTCATTGTAGAAAAATGAGAAAAGAAAAAATTAGTCATAATCCCTCTTCTGTGAATAACTGCTGTTATTATTTGTCCTTTTAGCTTTCTTTAGCACATATAATATGCATATAATGATATATTTAATATATCTTTTTATTTTACAAACATAGTGTCATACTATACATTCTGTTTTGTCATCTGTTTTCATTTACTAATATATTATGAACATTTTTATTCTCTTAAAAAATTGTACAGGTAGGGCCAGGCCTGGTGGCTCACACCTGTAATGCCAGCACTTTGGGAGGCCAAGGCAGGCAGACAGCTTGAGCCCAGAAGTTTGAGACCAACCTGGGCAACATGAGGAAACTCTACCTCTACAAAAAATACAAAAATTAGTTGGGCATGGCGATGTGCTCCTGTAGTCCCAGCTACTTAGGAGGCTGAGGTGGGAGGATCACTTGAGCCCTGGAGGCGGAGGTTGCGGTGAGCATGCTACTGCATTCCAGCCTGGGTGGCAGAGTGAGACCCTGTCTCATAAAAAAAAAAAAAAATTATACAGGTAATGCATGCTTATTGTAGAAAATCAGCAATTACAAATATGTAAAAACAATGGCCCCTCCCAAAGAACGCTGTTAATATTTTAACATATATTCTTTCAGATATGTGTGCAGATTTTTTTAATGGGACCGTATTGTAGATATTCTTTGTAATTTTTTAATTAACAGTATAGCTTGAACAATTTTTAAAATTTCCCACCCTACACTGATGTGACAATTTTCTATATCAATAAATACATAACTTTGTTTTTTGAGGCAGGGTCTCACTCTGTCACCTAGGCTGGAGTGTGGTGGCACACTGCAGCCTCGACCTCCGGAACTCTAGTGATCCTTCCACTTCAGCCTCCCACATAGCTGGGAACACGGATGTTTGCCACCAAGACTGGCTAACTTTTAAATTTTTTGTAGAGACGGAGGTCTCCCATGTTGCCCGTGCTAGTCTTGAACTCCTGGGCTTAAGTGATCCTCGCACCTCAACCTTTCAAATTTTGGGATTACAGACATGAGCCACTGTGCCCAGCTAATACTATCACTGTGTGTATGTGTGTGACAGAGTCTTACTCTGGAGTGCAGTGGTGCAGTTATGGCTCGCTGCAGCCTCGACCCCTTGGGCTTAAGTGATTTTCCCACCTCAGCCTCCCTCATAGCTGGTGCTATGTGGGAGCACCATGTGCCACCATGCCCAGCTAATTTTTTATTTTTATCATTATTTTTAGAGGTTGCATGACCATTGCATTGAATGGATGTGTCATATTTAGCCAATCTCATAATGTTGGATGTTTACATTTTCATTTCTAAAACAATGCTGTAATAAACATCCATTCTTGTACACATTTGTTGAATTAATGAATGAGAGAATGAACACACCACACCTCATTTTTAGATTTTTTTTTAGGAGTAATTTCTCAAAGTGGAATCACTGGGTATCAACCTAAAGAAGACTCAATCTAAAGAAGGTTCAGTATCCAGTTAGCAGAGTTTATTCAAGTGCAAAGTAACCATCAGGAGACAGAGGGAAACCAAGGAATGCTGATCAGTGCTCCTGGCATTGGGAGTGGGACAGTGAATATCAAAACGGAGGCACTGAGTAGATTTACATTTTCCATACAAAGGCTAACATACTGATTTAAAGGCCAGGCACTGTGGCTCACGCCTGTAATCCCAGCACTTTGGGAGCCCAAGGCAGGTGGGTCACTTGATGTCAGCAGTTCGAGACCACCCTGTACAACATGGCAAAACCCTGTTTCTACTAAAAATACAAAAATTAGCTGGGCTTGGTGGCAGGTGCCTATAATCACACCTGCTCAGGAGGCTGAGGCAGGAGAATCGCTTGAACCTGGAGGTGGAGGTTGCAGTGAGCTGAGATCACATCACTGCACTCCAGCCTGGGTGACAGAGTGAGACCCCGTCTCAAAAATAAATAAATAAATAACATACTGACTTAATATTTGATTCTCTACTATTGATTACACCCTAACGGGTTAACATCCTATTGAAAACAGGTAACAATCTAAAGGGTCTCTTATCTCCAATGCCATTTAGTGTAGGTTTGAATGAAGAATAGGGAGTCTGGTTAATGTATAACATCTCCACACAAAAGTCAGGAAGTAATGGTCATGCACCAGAGAAGAAAAACAGCCACATTATGTGACTTAGTTTCCAGGGCTTAACTTTTCCCCTTGGCATAATAAATTAGGAAAGTCCTGAAATTTTATTTTCTTTTTACACTGGACATGAATTTTTCAAGTAAACTTTAGTTGAAATATAACATGCGTAAAGAAAAGTGCACAAACTGCCAGGCACGGTGGCTCACGCCTGTAATCCCAGCACTTTGGGAGGCTGAGGTGGGTGGATCTCCTGAGACCAAGACCATCCTGGCCAACATGGTGAAACCCCGTCTCTACTAAAAATACAAAAATTAGCTGGGCATGGTGGCATGCACCTGTAGTCCTAGCTACTCAGGAGACTGAGGCAGGAGAATTGTTTGAACCTGGGAGGCGGAGGTTGCAGTGAGCCAATATTGCACTACTGCACTCCAGCCTGGCAACAGAGCAAGACTCCGTCACAAAGGAAGGAAGGAAGGAAGGGAGGAAGGGAGGGAGGGAGGAAGGAAGGAAGGAAAGAAAAAGAAAGAAAGAAAGGAAGGAAGGAAGGAAGGAAGGAAGGAAACAGAGAATAAAGAAAAGTGCACAAATAAAAAATGTGCAGCTCAATGATTTTTTAAAAAGGAAACATTTTATAACCACCTTCAGATCAAGAAATGGAAATTTCCACTCCCTAGAAGTCTTCCTCATGTGCCTTCCTGTTTACTATCCCCAAAGGGGATTCACTCTCCAGACTTCTAGGACTATAGGTTAGTTTTACCTGTTTTTGAACATTCAGTAGATCATTCAGACTATACCCTTCTGTGTTTTGCTTCTTTCACTCAACATGAGATTTATCCATTTTTGTATACTGACATATTGAGTGGCTGTTATAAATTCACGTAGTACTTCTAAGCTATCTACAGATTATTTGGGATTTTCTGTAAATAAGCACGTCACCTATGAATAATAATCTTTCATTTCCCCAATCTTTATTCTTGCCTTTCACTTCTTTTTTTGTGCCATGAGTTACTGTCTACTACATTTAGAACATTGTCGAATAGAAATGGTTATAATGAGCAGCATTTTCTCTCACCGTGGGTATACATCCAACAGAAATGCATACATATGTGAATCAAAAGACTTGCACAAGAATGTTATGTGACCGAAACACAGGTTCAGTTGCTCAACACTTTGCAGAGTTCAATTAACAAGAGCGAGGTCTGGTATAAAGAAAGTGGTTTTATTCCAAAGCTTAGCTTAGGGGAAGAGGTACAGGCTCCTCCTGCCCTTAACGGTACCGCCTCGCTTTTAGGGCAGAAAGCAGAGAGTTTTAAATGGGGACTTTGTATGAATGGCATGCAGGGGAGGAGCAAGCAGATGGGGGTCTACATGACTCATTTTGGTGCCTTTTCTACCAGGTGGTTGAGCTGATGCCATTGAGGGCAGAAAGAACTAGGTTGTAATGTGGCTGTTGTCCTGAGATGCTGTCCAGGTGGAAGAGTTCTGTCGCAGGCATACTTTAGGTTGTAAATTGACTGTTGTCTCTTAAGGCAATCTCTTGGTGGGAGAAAGTTCTGGTTCTGGACCCTCTAAGTAGGTAGATAAGTTTGCCCTGTAGGGAGTATCTGGTGAAGGGAAGGTAATGGTTATAATTACATTTCTAAAGAGCTAAGTAGAGGCAGGGCACAGTGGCTCATACCTGTAATCCCAGCACTTTGGGAGGCTGAGGCAGGCGGATCACGTGAGGTCAGGAGATCGAGAGCAGCCTGGCCAACCTGATGAAACCTCGTCTCTACTAAAAATACAAAAATTAGCCAGGCATAGTGGCAGGTGCCTATAATCCCAGCTACTAGGGAGCCTGAGGCAGGAGAATTGCTTGAACCTGGGAGGCGGAGGTTACAGTGAGCCGAGATAGCACCACTGCACTACAGCCTGGGCAACAAGAGTGAAACTCCGTCTTAAAAATTAAATAAATAAATAAATAGCTAAGTAGGAAGTGGGAGACAGGAGAGAAAGGGGGAAAATCTTAAAAACAACTCATTTTCTTTCTCTTAGAAAAATGCTCTATTTCGGCTGGGCACGGTGGCTCACGCCTGTAATCCCAGCACTTTGGGAGGCCGAGATGGGTGGATCACGAGGTCAGGAGATTGAGACCATCCTGGCTAACACGGTGAAACCCCGTCTCTACTAAAAATACAAAAAATTAGCCGGGCGTGG